GGTTTTAAGGTTTCCGCCTCCCCGGCGTTGGGGCCCCCCCCCCCCCCCCCCCCCCCCCGAATTATCGGTATCCCGTGCCCCCCTCTACGAACCCCACCAAACCTGCGCAACTCCAACACAAACAGTACAAGCGAACCAAGGATGCGGCGTTGAAGGTGCAGTCGTGGGGGAGGATGTCGGTGGTTCAGAGAAGCTACCAGAAGGACCGCTCGAGGGCGATCACGGTGCAGTGCCTGGCGAGGACGAGGTCGGCCAAGTCAGAGCTGCGGAAACGTAAAAAGGAGAAGGAGAACGTCGATGCCTTGCAGGCCAAGATCAAGGCCTACGAGGTATAGTATGTGTGCGTTGCGAAGGATATCATGCGCGCGTTTTTTTTTTGTTTTTTCTCTCCTCTTTCGTGTTTTGTCTCTCGTGTGTGTGTGCTTGTGTGGTAGTTTTTTCTCCTCTTCTTACTCGTTTTTTTATTTTTGCTCATTTTCTGTTGCGCTTCTTTCTTATGGTTTGGTCGAGATGGGAAACGTACATGCGTATGTACGTATGGCTGTGTGTCTTGTTTGTCTTGGTATTTGCTGTACTTGTTTTTGCATCCCCAGGGCGAGCCCTGTTTTCCCTGTCATGTTGATCGCAACCGACAAGAAACGAGAAAAGTGGTGGTTGCCTTGTTTCGTTTTTTTCCACCACCACAAGTCCTCGCACTAATTTCACACCGTCAGACACACAACGGCCCCGCTTTTCTACTAATTCTTGTGCTTTTCGCCGTTGTGTTCTCTTTTCTTTTTTTCTTTTTTTTTTCAGCAAGCGGCGAAGGCGAGGGAGGCGGAGTTACGGCGGGAGCAGGAAGCGGCTATCGCTCGGATCAAGGCCGAAGCGGAGGCGACGGCCAGGGCGGAGATGCGGGAGAAGGCGCGGCTGGAGGAGGAGCGGAGGGTACGAAAAGACCACGAGGCGAAAGTCAAGGTTCAGGTGAGAGAGGGGGGGGGGGGGGAGGCGAGCCTACATTCAGTCCGGTTTTGCGTACAGGCGGGCAGAATCTGAGAGAGGGAGACAGAGGGAGGGCGATTTTTGTTGGTGGGTGCAAAATATTTATCTGGAAAATATCTGGTAAAAATTTGAAATTGGTAGCCTATAGGCAGTGCAAGACAGCAAGCTCGAGCTTGACTGCTCCTCCGGCGTACGCTGGAAGTTAGCTGCTGCACGACCTTATTTTATGAGAACGGGCTTTGAAAGTCGGTCTAGGGGGGCGTACTCTTATGTTTTGCATGCCTTCGCGGTTAGACCATTGACCACGCGTCCTCGAGAGGACGGAGCATTGTTCCCACAGGACCGATCACGGATGGCCAATCGTTCCTTCCTACTTTGCCAAAGGTGGCTCAAAAATGTGTTCCCTAGTTTGTCTATCCTACCGATATCCCTTCCCGCCTTTTCAAACCACTTCCTACTCCCTAGTACAGCTACCGTCCTCTCTTCTCTGTTCCATGCCTCAAACATCTCCCTGTACCTCCCTTGTATTTTTCCCAGCTCAGTCATGTACACTTCCCTCTCCTCTTCGTACCACGGACATTCCGCGACTACATGAACACGGTCTTCGCATGCGAAGCCGCAATCACATTTGAACTTGTCGTCTTCGTCGTGTACCGTCCTATATCTTCGTCGACGTTCTCGAAGGCCTATGTCCCCGGTCCTGAATTTGACCTTAAGCTTTGTCCCTGCATCCATTGGTCCATGTAGGTATTCCTTGAACCCTATTCCTTCGTTCCAACATTCCGTACACTTCTAGACCCTCCTTATCTTCGGTTTCTTTCCTTAGATTCTGTTTTTCTCTCTCGGCACAAGCAACAGATATCTTCTCCTTGAACCCTTGTAGACCCTCCGTTTCCAGCGTTTCATCTTCGTCGATGTCGAACCCCTTCCATACGTCCTCTACAACCTTGACCCATTCCGTGGGTTGTCTACCCCTCGTGTTTGCCCACTTCGCCTCCCATACTATTCTCGGCAACCTCTTCTCTCCCATCCCGCACACGCGATACTGCCATGTCAGCTTCCTTGCGTCTCTTCCCGACCGTAGGGATTGGTTCCCCAATTCTGCCCTGACGGCTGCATTACTTGTGCGCTTGGAGCATCCTAGGATGATTTTCGCTGCTCTCATCTGCGCCGCCTCGAGTTCTTTCACTACCTCCTTATTTCCTTCCCATACTTCTCCGGCGTACTCTAGAGGCGGTACGATTACGCTCTTCGAAACCGTCAATTCGATGGGTGTATCGAGGTGCTCTAGTGGGGGTGTCATCTCCCTTCCCCCTCTTACGGTAGTTGGCCTAGTTGGCCTGTGGCATACGATGGCGTCTTCTCTGGACCTGAGTGGATGTTCTTGTAGAACGTGTTGAGCAGAGACCGGAACGGGTTTTCAACTCAAGCAAAAAACTACAACGTGAACGAAAACAACAACAACAACAACAACAACAACAACAACAACAACAACAACAACAACAACAACAACGTGCTTGTCCTGCCTGACGAACCACAGGAGGAGAAGATGGAGAAGGACGCGGCGGAGATGAAGGCGAGGATAGAGGAGGAGTACCGAGTCAAGGCGGAGACCGAGGCGCGGGCGAAGATCGAGGCGGAGCTGGCGGCCGAAAGAGCGGAGGCCGAGAGCAAAAAGGCAGCCACCGCCGCCGCTGCCAACGGGGGCACGGCAGCCGGGACCGCGAACGGGGGGGTAGGGGCCGGGTCGAGCCACAGCAACGTGAGGGGGGGGCTGCGGCTCGCCAGCCCCGGAGGGTCGAGCGACGGGACCGAGATGAACTCCCTCTCGGCGCGGTCGAGCGAGGCGGGGGTGGGGGGGGGTGGGGGGGGTATCACGGACCTCAACGGGCCCCCCTTCTCGGGCGGGAGGATGCTGGACGTGTCGGAGGCGGAGGAGATGAACGCCGCGATCAAGCAGCTGTACCTCAAGACGCCCGCGGGGTCGACGCCGTTCGTGCTGTTCAAGGCCAGGCTGAGGACCAGCAGGAGGGAGTGGCACATCGAGAGGCGTTACAGCGACTTCGTGTGGCTACATGAGGTATTTTACTTTTTTGGACGATAGGCGGCCCTGATGACATGTCTTATTTAGTCGTACAGCTGTACAGCTGATGGTTGTTTTTATCTCCCTACCGTACCGTGAGTACGAGAGGACACCGGGTACAGGAAAGAAACCATTGAGTGATGCCAGGAACAAGGGTGAACCCGATGCCCCCCACGCCATCGCCGGCGCTAGCCCCAGCGCCTGCCTGCGCTAGCCGCAGCCGCAGCGCCAGCGCGGCGGGCGGCGACGCCCAGCGCGGGGGCGTCGGGCCAGTCCCACATCGTCGCGCGCGTCGGCTCGTGTCGTGAGCTCCTGTATGCCATGCTGCATAGCACGACGGGGTGTGATTGGGAGCTGCTGCTGCGCCCTCCCTGGACCTGACACGATTCATGTGGCCTGATGGCTCTAAATAGGAGGGACGCCTCGCCTGCAAGACCGCGAGGCCAGGCGTCCGTCGTATAGCCATAAGGCCATGTAGCCCGTTGTAGGTCCAGGGAGGGCGCAGCAGCAGCTCCCAATGACACCCCGTCGTGCCTATAGCACGGCAGCGCCGACCGTGGCGTGGAGGTGACGGTGTGGGTGGAGGGGGGGGCGTCGGTTTCCCTTTTTTTGGCATCTCTCAAGTGTTTCTCTTTCCTACCCGGTGTTCTCTCGTGTTCACGGTACTGTAGGGAGAAAAACACAAGTCGAAGAGGTTCAACATGTTGACAGTGAGTGAGGAAAGGAACCTGCTCGAACCGAAAGAAAGGTCCGTCGGTGACGACCCCACACTCTCACTCACCGAAGAGATAAATTAAAAGGCGAGAAATTTAGAGTCGTGCGGAGTAGGGTCTGGAACAGTCAGGAGAGGTCGTGATGAGCTTATCGCTCCCCAAGTCGGAAGCTGAATCAGTGACCATTGTCTGCCTACGTACCGTGGGACCGCCGGCCTCAAGAGCTGGAGGCCTCATCCATAAAGCAATACTTTCAATACTTTCATTCAATGATCCTAGGCCAAGCAAGAGCAATAATACAAGAGGAGACTGTTCTGGCTGCTGCTGCTGCTGCTGCTGCTGCTGCATAAGCCTTGATTTCATTCGAGAAGTCGTCCCTAAGTATTTTCTTGTGTGCTCGTGTGGTGTGGTGTGTCGACCATTCCGTGTTGATTTTTTTTCCGTTGTAATTTTTGTCCTTTCCCTTGATTTGTGTCGGTCGTGCTCTCGGTCTGGCGCGGAAGGCCCTTGTTGAGGCGCGGCAGACAGATCTTCCCGAGCTTCCCGCGCGACGGCTGTTCGGCGACCCACTGGACAAGGACTTTCTCAAGGGCCGTCAGATGGTAAGGAGACGTATGTCGCAGGCGGGCAGGCGACAGGTAGATGGACAGATAGACAGGAAGATACGACAGACAAACAAGATTTTTTTTTCTTTCTTAAGGCATAACGAATCCATCTCGTATCCTTTTTCTAGTTTTTTTTCTTTCTATCTTGAGAATCCGATACAGCGAGTATGTGATTTGTTGAACACTCTTCATCGCTAGTATTTTTAGCACTATTTATAAACCGACTGTCTGTTCGTTCGCCATTGACCTTGAATTGCAGGCCCTGGACTTCTACCTGACGGGTTTGTTAGCCAAGTACCAGAAGTGGCTGGTTGAGTCCCCTGCCAAGATGGAAATCAGGCTGGACCAGACGGGCAACATGATGAAGGAGATGGTGGCACGACAGGTAACAGGCGTAACCTTTTTTTGATTTTCTCTTCTTTTTTATACTTGTCCTCCCCGACCTGTACCTCCCAAAAAATGAAATTTAATTATTTTTGCACCCCGATTGAAGCAACGTGTTGAGTTTTTTGCCTCGCAAGAATTTCGGCTTCACCTAAACAGCTTCTTCTGCACGTTCTAGCTCTCCATACTTGTACAGAACGCTACGTTTGCATGATTGGTCGTATAGAAGCGGCGGGGGCACGCTAACTGCAATGTGCAGTGACCCCCCTCCCCGCGCATGCCCTTCGGGGTTTGTGGGGGTTTTGTCGCTGTTTGCGTTCACCTTGCTAGCAATTAACTGGGATCCCGTCGTTAGGTAGGGTTCCCTTTTTACGGTACACCCTGTTGGCCTCTTTTTCCGAGTCGCTCTTGGCGTCGACGTCCCGCGTGTTGGATACAATACTCCCTTCACTGCTGTGGATGGTGGAGGTGTTTGATGCTTGGTGCGGTGGTGGTATTTGATGCCAGTTTTTCCGGGGGTTGGTGGCGGCGGTGTTTCATTTTTTTCTGCGGTGGGTCATGGGTGGCGGTTTTGATTCTTTAACTGCGGTGGGTCATGGTGGTGGTGTTTGATACCATCTACTACTGCGGTGGTGGTGGTGGTCATGGCGGCGGTGGCAATCGTGGCAGGGGTGGCCGGGCATGTTGCAATCAGTTTGCCTCGATGCATAGGGCGGGGGAGCTTTGCCCGGCAGGGGCTGCGCACGTGGCTTTGGTGTGCTTCTCGTCTCGTTGGGCGGCCCTCCTGACTATATGCGATTGAACCCCGTATCCCCCAGCATCACACTTCCAATATTTCTGATCATTCCCCCCGCCTCCCTTGGTTCGCCTCGTTTGCACCTTCCTTCGTTCCTTCGTTTTTTGTTTTGTATTTGCAGACGTTGGTGGCCTTCCTGAATCCCAACCAGGAATCTCTTCATCGGGAGGATGATAGCGTGATGGGGGCAATGTCCGGATTCATGCGAACCTTGCGACGTTGATGATACATCCCTCAGAATTTTTCTGTCTCTCTTTTTTCAAATCATAACGGCAAATTGCGCAGCGAGCGTTGACTTTTTTATCGGTTGCAGCGGCGGCGGCGGCAGCAGCAGCTGCTACAGTGACAGCAGCAGCAGTAGCAGTCAATCGTCGAGAAAAAATAAACTGTGGGGGAGAAATGGGGAGCTCCTCAAAAAGCGTTCCGAGGAATTTGATTGACTGACTCCTGTCTGGCGGCGGAAGGAAAATATGTGAGAGAGAGCGGGCAGTTGTGGTGCATCGTACGGTACGGCATGGGGGAGTTCTTTATGGACGGATAGCTGCGTTTTTTGGGGGTCTTGGTAGAAGAAGGAAGTTTTTCCTCGTTGAGTGACGACGAGAATTGCGAGTGGGTGCCTGGCATTGTGGGGAGGATGCAGAGGCCAGCCGCAGAGGTGTGGGGGTCGGGGAGGAAGAAACAGCAGCAGCAATAACGAACTGGGGTATTTTGACCGGTTGCTTCCATTTAAACGAAAAATCTTTTCTGTTTTTTGTTTTTGTTTTTATTTCTCTCTTTTGCCTACCATACGTTATTCTTGAGTCCTCAACGATTGAAGGCTAGCTAGTTTTGCACGTCTCTTGTGTTTTTTTTAAAAGGGGGGTTTCTCTATTTTAGCTCACCGTCGTGTTTTGTTGCACCTTCGTGTGTAACGTGCGTTCCTTTTGCTTCTGGCGCGCGACACACACTCAGGCGCTGTTGCCATGATAGAAGGGGTAGCCTGATATCCATGAGCGGGTATTACGTTTCGTTTCTGCTTCCTGCCGTCTCCCGCTATCCGCCCCACCCACTCCCGCGTTCCCAGCTACCCTGGTCGGAAGAAATGCTTGTTTGTGACAACAGCATGGTGGGTGACGCTGCTGCAAGTGTTCCATGGCGTGCACGGATAACCGCACCGTATAAAACCCGTCCGTTGTTTCTAGATCGGTAGGCCGACACTTATGCCGGGTCCACGCGACGATTTATTGGGAGGGAGTGGGGGCGGGGGACCAAGGTCTCTAGTTTTCGTGTAAGCTTCTACTTGGTGATTACGATCTGCCTCTTCTTGGCTGAGCCGCTTGGTGGTAGGCGTTTCACCCTTAGGGTTTCCACCTTGAAGAAGGCGTGTTCGTCGAAGAAAAAATTAAAGAATCTGCAGCAGCAGCACCAGCTGGCGCCTTCTCTTTTGTCCCTCGGGCGTGTTTCTGCTTTTCACTCTTGTAGGCGTTGTATTCGTCGAAGATTAATTTCGTCGTGAGCAGCAGCAGAAGCTGGTACCTCTGTGAGCAGCAGATGGTACCCGGGCGTTGTCTGCTCATGGACGCGTTAAGCACGAAAGCAAAACTGCCACCACGGACGGCGAATTGAATTGTTGTGGGTGTTGTGAGATATTTCTACGCGCGCGGGTGTACCGTCGTTGGTTGCCGTCAGGTTTTTGGGAGGCGCGGCAGCATCGGTTCATTGAGTCAGAGGGCAAGATTCGTTCACGCGGGGGAAAAAGTGTACCCTTCGACGAAAAAAAAAAATCTTTCTCGGGGACTCCTAAAAAAAGGTTTGCGAAGTATGGACGCGGCAAGGAAAAGCGAAACGCAAGTCAATGTCTATTTACAACATGCGGACGGTTGGTTGGTTGCTGCACCAACAAAATACCCAGCGCTGGCCCCCCCCCTTCACCATTTGTGATTGTGAACTGTGACTGGATGTCTCCTCTCTTCATTGTGGGAGATTCTCATAACCTTGACGACAACGTTTGAAAAGCTCGTTCGCGACTGGCATCAGGCTGATAAAGGCAACATGTGTTGCCAGCGACTCCCGAAAACTGGGGTGTCACGAAAGACCACGGTTGACCGTCGTCGTGCCCTCGTAATGAACACACGCCGAGATCCGCGCGGTAGCGCTCTTGCCTACCTGGTACCGCCATCTACCGACCCCGGTCGCCCTCTTCTCCAAAAGTTCTTCTCTCTGCCATATTTTCTCCTCTCCAAGAAACTCAGCGAGCGGCATCCATGGATAGGTGGGTCCACGTAGCAAAAGAGGGAACAAACTTTCCTCTTATCACATCCTGCATGTTTCAGCAGCTTAGCCGCCCTGCCTTGAAACCATTTTATTTTCATGTTCGAGAAAAATCAGCAGCTATTTCTCCTCGACCGGACTCGTTGGGGTTGTTGTTGTTGTTGTTGGCGGCGGCTGTGGCGCAGGTAACGCGGACACCCCAAAGACTTCCTCGAACGATTCCAGGAGCAGACGGCCCACACGGTCCATGCTCAAGTCCTCGCCCTCCGCACACAGGAACTCGACTGGTTTTACGCGCAGATGAGGACATAGAAGTAGAGACAACGTCAGGACTAGAGAGTGCCAAGGTTATCACCGACGAGTTCTTGTCAACAAAGCTAAACAAATCGTGTGGAGACTGGGGGTGGGTGGGGGCAGAGTGGTCAGGTAACGGGGCATCGTGGTGTGAAGACCCGAATCAGTCGGGAATGCAGAGCGAAGGTAGACGCCAAAACCACCACGGTGATATGGTGAATGAATTCTGGGGGGGAGGGTAGGCAGAGTTGGTCGCCGCTTGGGTGTACGTATGTTGCTGCAGCGTTTTCGTTGGTGTATCGCTCTTGGGGAATGGGCTACGCCCCCCCCCCCCCCCCCCAAAACCCTATAAATGGGTTTTAATGGCTCCCCCCCCCGGCCGAAAGGGTGGGAAACCCCCCCCGGGAGCCCCCGGGTCTTTTCTCCAAGCCCCCGGGGAACAAGTGTCCGAAATGTTCCAAGGTCCGCCGCGCCTTTAACGGGAGGGCATTTCTCCCGTTTCAATGCTTTTCCCCGGCCCCCATTGGCTAAGGGGGGGGGGGGGCAAAAAAAAAAAATGGGGGG